GCACACCTCACCTCCGTCTTGCTGTCCTCATACATCTCCTGCACCAAGTTCCCTTCACTTCCTTATGTAGAAGTGAAACACCACAGTGCTTTCTCTAGACCTACAAGGACACAGTGCAACATCTTCTGACCTTCACTATCAACACTCTGAAAGCTGTAACTCTCTTTCTCGGCATACCACTGCTTGCTGATCGTCAACTCTCTTTTTAATAATTCTTTTCCACAGCTTTATTTTATGACCTATTAACGTTACCTTCTGTAGATGCTACAGCTCTGCACATCACACTTTTTCAAAAGTTAAAACTTGTACCAGTACACTTCCTCTCACTCTTCAGGATTGTGTAAAAACAATTTATTCAATGAGTCCACAGTTCTCTCAAATTGGCATCTCTTTACTTCCACAGGTAGGTCATCTGGACTACCTGCCTTTCAAATCTTCATCCACTTCATAGCTGCCCTCACGTACTCCCCACTAATCTTCTGTACTTCCTGTCTTCCTCCCATTTTCTTTGTTTATCTGTGCCTCAAAGTTCTCTTCTAAATCTTCTCTCGTTACTGGTTAGTGCATTTACATTGCTACCCTAATCCCCCTAACCCGCTGCAAATCCTCTCCAGCTCAATCTCTGCCTAGCCAGTCAATTCAAGTCCTTTCACTCCTTTTTAAGTGTCCAACCTTACATGCAAGTCATTATGAATATTTCTACTCCTTTCTTTGCTGTACACCTAGTACAGGAGTACCTAGTCCGAATATCCTTGTCTACTTTCTTCATCTACCTGACTCCCTTTTTCTTTGTCAACCTCTTCTTTTGAATACTTTCCTGTACTTCCTCACTCCACTAAGTTTTCTTGTTCTCTTTCCAGAGAATACATCAAACACCTTCTTGGCAGTTTCCTTCACGCCTACTCCATTTTTCTTCCCATCTACCATGGTAGAACAGTTTGAATCCACCTCTAATACTCCTGGCTTTGCCTTCCATCTTGGTGCTTCCTAACACACCCGGCCAACAGTAGCACAGTTTCCACTAACACACAGCTAGCTAACAGTACCAGATTGAGTCTCTGTTAACCCAGGCCATTACTGATCTAGTATGAAAATGTCCTTCCTGATGTTTGCTTTGGCAATGACTTCATGCTGGATTCCCTAGCTGATGCAGGCCTCACCAATTATCTGGGCTTGGGACTGGGACGCTGGCACTAAGAGTACACTGGCTTGTGGCCCCCTTGTGGCTGGGAGAGAAGCAAAAACCTGAGCTTGCACTGTTATTTTGGTTAGATGACCAACATCATTCTGCCCCTCATCGGGTTTGCTGGTTTTTGAGATACCAATTTGTGCTGCTCTTGACAGAATTCTGGTTAATATTCAGTGGTTCGCACTGTTAATAGATCACCCTGCGACTGTGGTATTACAGTAATTTGCCCCGCTTAGAAAAGCTATCCTAAAAAAAAAAACAAAAACAAAAAAACAAAACAAAACCCACACATACTTTATTTTACCATAGTCACCAGTGCAACTTTCATCCTCATTTAGGATTTCTATGACTGCAGTAAAATTCTTTCATCCCTCACTTTTTCCAGCTGACACAAGACCAAGTGATAGGTAGAAAAAAAAATCAATAGATGAAACTTAATGGCAAGAATTCACAGGGTAACTGAATGCACCTTAAGCAGACCTTTGACTGGCGATAGGATCAGTGGATTTCAGATCTAAGATGCAAAAGAACTGCACAGCTCTGCCTGATGAATGTAGATGTTCCCCTATTAATACAGGAAATATGCCTTGCAAAACAGGAAATACCAGCAAGTGGCAGGAATGTATCAAAGTTACCTATAGATATAATTTCAGTTTGTTAAAAAGGATGTTTTAAAAACTATTATCAGAACCAAAGGGGAAAAAAATACATTTGCCAAATACCTTGCAACTTGATAAATGATTCATTTTATTTCCTTAACAAAGACAGCATCAGCAATGAACCACTTTGGACATCCTCTCTCACACAGCACATCTCTTTCTTCAGCAGATTTTGACATAACATTTACTTTGTAGATCAGTGGTCGTCAAAAATGAGGGAACTACTGATTGGAAAGGGAAGAACCCCCCCC